TCCTTTTCTCGTCCGCTTTTATTCTTAGAAGATAATGAGATTCGGCTAAAAATTAACAACAACAAAAAAATACCCAACGGACGAAAGTTAAGAAGAACAGAGACAATGAGGCAAAAAAATAAAGCCTTATCTTTATTATTCTCCTTTCTACAATAAAACCAGCGTAATACAAGGTCAGGAAGAGAGAGGTATCAGCTTACCCACTGTTTCTCGACTATTCATTTACATCGAACAACACGAGAAAGTAGGGGTAGTTCAACTGTGGGTAATGTTGAGCATTATTGTTTAAATTACTGACATACAACAAAAGGAATTGACTTCGTCTGCAAAGTTACACAAGGCTCGGATAATAATGAACGGCGAAAAAAAAATTAATTTTCATTTATATATATATATTTTGTTTGAATACTCAGAACAAATGAATGTGTTATAAATGCAAGCCAAGGTAAGTGAACCTTTGAAAAAGAAAATACAACACATTTCCTGAGCAAGAGAACAGAGTGACAGTCAAACCACGCAGAGGAAAAAAAAAAGTGAGTAAAATTGGACTTTCTGGTTATATTTTATTATAGTTGGATTAATTATAATTTGGACGAATGAACAAGACGGAATGCTAAAGGACAATCTACCCCATTAAAAAAAAAAGAACAAAAAAATATCTAATTGTCTCTTGGCTGGGGTAGCAGAATTCACTAACCAAACAATACAGAAATATCTCACTATGACTAACACACTCGTGTTCTTCTATGGCAACACTCGCATTTATAAACAAGTGAACGAACATAACACAACTTGCTAAATCCAACTTTATAGCTATAGATAAGAACGACTGCTGCCACTAGAGGCATATCCAGTCATAACTATGATGTTCTCTGAGCTGTCTCTCTAGAACACACAAATATTAATATATATACAAGGAGAAAAACAAAGCAACTTACACTACAACGTCTATAAAATACGTCAGAAGCCAGCAATAGGGCTAACGTTAAAGTATCTTTTTTTTTAAAGGAACAGAATACTTTTTTTTTTTGGAATCGTCAACACATTTAAGTGCGCAAGTAACAAGATCATGTATATACATAACAAAAATGTCGTCGTTATAAATTAATACCCAATACAACTGACCAACAGTTAATACCTATAACAACATTTATAGCCCAAAAAACAGAATTACAAAAAATAGCGTTATTTTTAAAAATTAAAAACATCTACACAATTAAATCAGTAAACCAGTAATATCTACATCCATTGTTAATAGAATGATCAAATTGAATTCTATGTAATAAAAGGTTACGTCTAATATGATAATGCAGATCAAATTATTCATTCACATTACACTAATTAAAAAAACATTCACAATTCTCGTCCACAAACAACGATACGTCGTCAAAGCTTTCGTTTCTACAGCCAACTCCTGAGCTGTGTAGAGTTTAAAAAAATTACATCTGTTGTCAATTTTCAAATTATCTTGAGTTTATTTCTACTTCAAAAATTATATTATATTATTTCTATAAATAATTAAACCAAAAGTATAAAAAATACTACAAGATAAAAAAGTATTCAACTACTTCCTCAATATTTACTGTTAACACCATTTTTCTAAATAATACACTTTTATAGAGTGTTAATTTCCTACTTTTCTTGCACGCACTAGTTTGAAATAATTTGAAAAACCATAACTGAAATTAAACTTAACAGCATAGGTCTAGTTATTTATTTATATTTTATTCATTTTTATCAATGAATTAACATTTTGAAATCGGGTGTGTAAAAACGACATTTCGGATCTAAAATAAGAAGTGTGTGGTGAAAACTGCGTTTTAAATCAACTGGCTACTGATAAACTCTGGAATGACGAGCTCTGGTAACATAAGAAAAGCCTCTTGGGCAATGACTTCTTGTGATGGACATCACTTCTAAATACCAGACAGATGTGTACACTGAAGAATTAACGATAGTACTACCATTCTTAAAACACGGAATACCTAGAATTGGGTGTTTCAGCACAAAACTATCTGCTGTGTCCACTATGTGGAATCGACACCCGGATTTTAAACTTAAACTTACCACTGACACACTGGGGGTTCAATTGTTTTAGAGCATAGCCACACTGGGTTATCTGCTGTGCTCACCACATGGAACCAAACCCTGAATGTCATTTTGATTTCCTCTTTAAATCCCAGGTTGTATTTAAAGTAAAAAAAATAATAACTGTAAATAATTTAATACAGCACCTGTTGTTCTACTGCAGTTTATAATTCATAAAACAGCCTAATATTTACTTTTTTTCACATTCTTTACTTAATGTATTCATGTATCACTATTGTGCATTTTTTTGTTGCTCAATGCGAAGGATTATGGAAGGTGTACATGACAGTTATAGTAAAAATAAAACAATCACTGGTCCACAATTAATCACAATGTACTCAAGACAGCTTCAAACTAATTTACGTCTCAACTAAAATCATTAAAAGCGTAGATACTTCTCTAACAAGCTAATCCCCCTCCAATACTTAAGTTTACTGCAAACTTAACAAGAAGGTTATTCCAGAAAAAAAGCATCACCACATATTTCAAGACTTTAAGATCTGTGATTAAAAGAAAAAGCAAACTAAAAAAATATTTTTTTATCTTTTTTTAATAGTTATAAATAGATTGCATTCTAGCTAATAATAAACTAAAACTGAAGCTCTTATTATTTTCTTGAACACTGGTATTCAAGCAGATAACCTGTGGTCATATACTGTGTACCAGTTTGAATGCAGTCAAGCCTAATGTTCTGAAAACGTCTCACCATATTCAACACTTAGCATGAATGATAAACCTCAACTTCTCTTGACAATTTCAGGTTTGTACAGATTTTACAAAAGAAAATGCTAGAACTTTTTCCAGGACCGATATTCAGATTTTCACAATTCTCAAATCCTGCCATGCTTGATTAAACTGGCGTTCGTTTATCGAATGTGCTCGCCAGTGGAAATTCCAACATTGAGGCATAATGTTCACAACGGCCAACACATAATATAAACAAACCCAATTATGACAGCCAACCTTTTTTGTTTGTCTATTGTAATTAAGTCAATTATTTCAAAAAGGTTTCATTTTTATTTATTGAAACTGGAATTTCAGGATGATTCTAGAGTGATGACTTAAATCAACCATTTTTATACGATTTATAGTACTGAAACTTTCAAATCATCTTTCGTGGCTTTGAAAAACCTGTAACAACCCTGTTTGGTCAGGATTAGGAGATAACATTCATCACAAGCAACTCCAAGAATACAATTAAAAGTAATTTGAATTATTACTATAATAAATGTAATAATAATAATAATAATGGGTAAGACAGAAAACTGAAAATGTAACAGACAAACTACACAGCTTGCTGATAAAAGTTATTTCTTTTCTTGTCTTCCAATTACACACAATAAAATGTTTTGTATTTAATACTTTCGCCCTCTAGGATTTGGAGCTCGACTTTTTGATGCACTGTCTGTAAGACCTTCAACCCTGCTGTGAGATTGTCTCAATCTTTCATTTTCTGTGGAATCGACTACAGTTTTCCCGAGGCCTTCTCCCCTACTTCGAGGCCTGTACAAATTAGTACTGGAACCAGAACCACCCGCACCGTATAACCCTTCACCTCGACTCCGACTGCGATTAAGACTGGTGGAAGATGAGAAACCTGAACAAGAGATAAGTTGGGATAATTAAGAATAAATATGCATAGTAATAATAAAAATGCTTTTATAATCTTTACTGATGATAGGTATACTATAAGGAATAGTAACAAGTAAGATTTCTTGAGTGATAGTGGAAGAAATGAAAGTTTGAGAGTAGTCACATACTTTAAATTTTGTCGCATTTTTCAAATATCAGCTCTGATGAAGAATAATTAAAATTATTTAACAAGTATCACACTGAAAATATCTGAGCAGTAAAGTGTTTGCAGCAACAGACTTAAGAAAATAGCTTGTATGCAATAAAAATTAGGAGAAAATAAAGTTTCATGAGCAAGTTTCTATCAAATATATTATTGGTTTCTGAAACACAACATGACTGGTAAATCAAAGTGACACTACTGAACACAACTTCAAAACCAAACACTTAAAGACTGGTAAATCAAAGTGACACTGCTAAAAATAATTACAATACCAAACACTTAAAGACTGGTAAATCAAAGTGACACTGCTAAAAATAATTACAATACCAAACACTTAAAGACTGGTAAATAAAAGTGACACTGCTAAACATAACTACAATACCAAACACTTAAAGACTGGTAAATAAAAGTGACACTGCTAAACATAACTACAATACCAAACACTTAAAGACTGGTAAATAAAAGTGACACTGCTAAACATAACTACAATACCAAACACTTAATGACTGGTAAATCACATTGTCACTGCTAAAAATAACTACAATACCAAACACTTAATGACTGGTAAATCACAGTGTCACTGCTAAACTTACTACAGTACCAAACACTTAATGACTGGTAATTCACAATGACACTGTTAAACATAAATATAATACCAAACATTTAATGACTGGTAATTCACAATGACACTGTTAAACATAAATATAATACCAAACATTTAATGACTGGTAACTCACAGTGACACTGCTAAACATAACTACAATACCAAACACTGAATGACTGGTGATTCACAGTGACACTATTAAACATAACTACAATACCAAACATATAATGACTGGTAACTCACAGTGACACTGCTAAACATAACTACAATACCAAACACTGAATGACTGGTAATTCACAATGACACTATTAAACTTAACTACAATACCAAACATTAAATGACTGGTAATTCACAGTGACACTGTTAAACATAACTACAATACCAAACATTAAATGACTGGTAATTCACAATGACACTGCTAAACATAACTACAATACCAAACACTGAACAACTAATAATGCTTTCTGACAATAATGAACACAACTATAAGACCAGAAAACAATTGAATATTGTATTGAAAATTTTGTGGTAAGGCTTGTGGCTTTTCACAGGTGTGTTAATAGCACTTAACACTAAAATAAGTAAAGCTTGGGGTGTTGCACAGGTGTGTTAAAAACATTTAACTCTGAAATAATTTCATTAATCTATTGTAGATATATAACAAAATATATGAGGATGCAAGGGTTAATTACGAACATTTTACAACAAAATAGCACTTTTTGCCTGTCACAATGTTTGTTGTGAAAATGTTCTGAGCCTCACACAAAATGTTAATTTAAAATATGACACATAGCTCTATAAAAAGTTACTTTATAATACGCTCAATACTTCAGTTTCTTTGGGGGCAGCATTTAGATTCAACAATGTAATATATCACGACTTCTGAGCATCAGTATACAAAAACATGCATATGAATAAAATATATTCATAAAAAATTAAGAACTTATAATCTAAATTCTATTAAAAGAATACAATGTTAATACAAATTAAAACATTTCAGTACTGAACAAACTTCTAAATTCAGCTGATAACTTCAAACATTTAAAAGGCATTTAGCCAGTGTGAATTTTGAATTGCTTTTGTGGAAATGTTCATTTTTAAAAAAAAACATTATTCAATGATTGAATAAGTAAAATACATACAACATTCAAATAACTAAAGCAACAATGTACACATACATTGCAGGATTTATACTTCAAAGTAAAGCGAATTTCTTCTCTTCCTGTTAATTATTAGAAATATTGCAATAAAATTTTGTGACTAAACAAAGAAACATATATTATTAATAATATCCTACACATACTTTCTCTACTGCCCGATCGTCTCAGATTACTTGTCCCGGCCAGACGAGCTGCTCTGACAGCTCTTCCACGCTTATCAAGATTCAGTTTGTCTGGACGAACAAAGATACCAAAACGTGGCTTACACTGAAAGTATCTAACTCCAGCTACCGATCCATCATTTTTACCTGAATAATAAAGAAAAAAATATTTTCTACATTCAATAAAATTAATTATAAAAAAAAACAGATAAGAAATATCATCTTTTATGCACTGAATAAAAGTCATAAAGTAATTAATATATTTACAAAGTTAATTCCAGTGAAACAATCACGGTGTAGTAGCATTTCTTCAGCCATACTTTGTAAGGATTAAAAGTTGCCTCTACAGACGTCGAAACTTCTTCTCCTTTTAAATAATGATTTGTTTGCTTGTTGAATTTTATGCAAAGCTGCTCGAGGGCTATCCCACAAGCTGTCCCTAATTTAGAAGCAATAGATTAGAAGGAAGGCAGCTAGTCAATACCACCTGCTGCCAACCCTCGGGATATTTGTTATCAATGAACAGTGGGATTGACTGACACATTATAATGCCCCCAAGGTAAGGGGATTTGATCCGACAACCCACACAGATAGTGATTTGAGTATTCTAACCACCAGGCCAAGTTAGAACTAAATAGTCTATGGAAGATATGCTCAGTTTGAAAAAAAGGTAACATTTTCCTAACCTGAAAAATGTATTTCCAATAATACTTACCTCTGCTGACACTATAGTTATTTCACGATCACCATGGTTTTTCACTCATTTTCCATCTAAGCATTGTAAATGCTTTCTCCAGTTTTTATACCCCACTCAAATGCCCTTGGCAAATTCTAATTTGCAAATTTCTCCACCAACTTCAATGCACTCTTCCAAAGTTAACTTTCAAAACATACTTACCTCTACTGACACTATAGCTAGAATCCCACATTGAGAAGGTGCAGGAATGAACCGTACAGAAAGTGTCTGTATAGAAGTGTACTAAAATGAAGATGGTAAAAGAGTGGGGGAACCGCACTACTTCCAGAACAGGTATGCTCTTCACCCGGAACTCAGTTCCTATATCAAAGGTGGAATATAATACAAATAATTGTCAGTATAGGCCAGCCCCAACCAGAGAGCCAAGGTTCCACAACTCAGGGTTAAAATTAAGGGCTCTTGGTACCTATATCCCACTTTGATGGCTAGGGCTATTGGACTGCAATGTTTTATATATATATTTTTGATTAGATCCAAACATGTAGTCAGAGAGTGGTGTGTTTTGCACCACCGGAATCATGACCAAAAAGTAAGCAACACTGAAGTGGACAAACTTTCTCCTTCACCTGGAGAGTGGTGTGTTTTGCACCACCAGAATCATGACGAGAAAGTAAGCAACACTGAAGTGGACAAACTTTCTCCTCCATCTGGAGAGTGGTGTGTTCTGCACCACCGGAATCATGACGAGAAAGTAAGCAACACTGAAGTGGACAAACTTTCTCCTCCACCTGGAGAGTGTTGTGTTTGCACCACCGGAATCATGACGAGAAAGTAAGCAACACTGAAGTGGACAAACTCTCTCCTCCACCTGGAGAGTGTTGTGTTTTGCACCACCGGAATCATGACGAGAAAGTAAGCGACACTGAAGTGGACAAACTTTCTCCTTCACCTGGAGAGTGGTGTGTTTTGCTCCACCGGAATCATGACGAGAAAGTAAGCAACACTGAAGTGGACAAACTTTCTCCTCCACCTGAAGAAGTCCAAAAATCAACACCCCAGGCTCGGAATTACAAGATCGTGTATGCCATACTCAAACAAAGGAACAAAACTCATCATAATAGAACTTGAGAATTCATACCTGTCGGTACGTTTTTTATTTATTATTATTAAAATAATTTATAAACATACGAAGATATAACCATAGTAATGCAAACCACATTCAAAGTCACAATGTAAACTGTGAATAAACACAACATTCTTGTTTATAGAAACCCACGCACAATGCTTTGTCGACAAAAAGTAATTACATTATCTGAATGAGGTGCTTATATACAGTACCTAGATAGAGGGTGCATATTATAATTTGCGTTTTCAATGTGCTTAAATGGGCAAAGAGTGGAAACCCTGGAGATCAAGAAATAGCTATAGTGTTAGTGGAGGTAAGTATGTTTTGGAAAAGAGATCCATGCTTTATAATTCTTAAGTCTTACCTGTAGGAGTGTCTAATTCAACCCCTGCCCAGACACCAGGAGCAAACACTGTTGCCCCTAAGAAGGCTAGGACTCCTGTCTTGTTGTAAGGACTGATCATGACACTTTCTCCTACAGTCAGCCAAGATGGTAAAGTGATGTCGCTACTGGTTAGATGATCTGGCCGGCTTTCGTAGGAGCTGTTGCTGACACTGTCTTCTCGATCTGAAAATTAGAATTTCAGAACCTATATCCTTATCTTGCCTCTGCACTAAGAATTATTGTGATGATTTGAAGAAAACTAGTTATATCTCCCCTTTCACACTCCAAGCTTGCTAAGAAAACTAGTTAGATCTCTCCTTTCACACTCTAAGCTTGCTAAGTAAACTAGTTAGATCTCCCCTTTCACACTCCAAGCTTGCTAAGGAAACTAGTTAGATCTCCCCTTTCACACTCCAAGCTTGCTAAGAAAACTAGTTAGATCTCCCCTTTCACACTCCAAGCTTGCTAATAAACTGTTAGATCTCCCCTTTCACACTCCAAGCTTGCTAAGGAAACTAGTTAGATCTCCCTTTCACACTCCAAGCTTGCTAAGGAACTAGTTAGATCTCC